GGGGGGACTATCTCCAAGTCATAAAATGAAATTCTGGGGTTCTTACTTATTTCAGCTATTTGCATTCTGATCTCAGACTGAACTGGCTAAGATGTGCTTCCTCCCATATTCTCTCTAATGTTGCAATCATTTGCACTTGATCTGGAGCATTGATTCTGAGTTTACTTATTTGAGGTAGTGAAAAACATAGAGATAGACTTATTTTTTTTCCAAATGTGAAATTTGCAATTATCTTTATTTAAATTACACAATGGACTTTATGTAAATGAAGATATAACATTTGTTATATCGTTCCCTTTATCAGTATTAATGAAGTGAAGATCAAATATCTGCATGTTAAAGTATGTTAAAAAGTAAAGAATTTCAGTGATGTGTATTTACTTTTTCATATAATTATAACTTTCTGCATATGCCTCCCTCTCCTATCCAGAGACTTAGTGACTTTTCCAAAGTATTTTAAAGAATCGCATGGAAGAACAAAGGGAATTCCCATTCCCTGTGTAATCTTGGAATTTGCTCTTTTATTTTGACAAAATGTGTGAATTAATCCTTAGTTATTATGATACCAATACCAAATACTCAGTTAAATAATGTAAGAGCTGTGGTGCCGCGCTGGTTAGAATGCAGTATTGCTGGCTAACTCTGCCCACAGCCAGGAGTTTCATCCTGACCAGATCAAGGTTGACTCAGCCTTCTGTTAGGATTCAGATGGGAGATTTGAGTGGAATATTTGACTATTTGAGTGGAAATTCTTTCTCTTCAATTTTGGAGAGAGTTCGTGCTTAAGGAACTCTGTGTTTGTGTTCTTCCAGGAGCTCCTGTCATTGGCCAAGCGGAAACGTGGTGATTCTGAAGAAAAGGAAGCACCTGCTAGTAAGCCTACAGCATCTTCAGATTCTGAGACTTCAGATAGTGATATTGAGGTTAGTTTGTGTTTAACTGTAAATTGAATAAAACTAAGTAATGTGAATTAGTTCAGTTCTGGTGCTGAGATTATTCACATTAAATATGAAACATTTGTGAAGGCTAGATACACTTGATACTGCATGACTTTGTGATAGTGTATAGCATAAGCTGAGAAGTAACTAATAGTTCCTTGATTTTTGCGTAAAAATTATCTCAAAATGGTTGCTCTTAAAAGAAAGAAATCTTAAAGAGAAACTCCAGCGTGCAAAGATTGATTCTCTAACTTATCAGGAAGTTCAATCTTACCATCTCCAATGTAGATATAATTTTCATCTGAAATTTATTGAAGGGAAATGGGTAAGAGAAGTGTGCAATGTTGTTGGCAAACTGCAACTAATAAAGTTGACTTTTCACTATGTGGTTACCTGTAGCTAAAGTTTTGAATGACATGCTAATTTGGTAACAATCCAAGGTTTAAGTGGAGTTTACCAATTACAAGGAGGCAATTGCTTTTGCTGTTATAGTAATAAAAAGTGGTTTAGTGTTGTATCTTAATCAACTTGTTTTCCTGCTTGTAAAATACTTGTTCAGTTTTTCATTTGCTTTTGTAAAAAATAAAACTTCTGCTATTAATTCTGCTATTTTATTTGTATATAGTTATAATACAATATTATTTTTTATTTTATAGCTGTAACTTTCTTATCAAATTAAATTTTGTTCATAGCTGTTTTAGCACATATTTGCATTAAAATCCAAACATTTAGCTTCATGAAATCTTTGAAGATACTTCAGCCTTGTCTCACAATTCCCATCTTTCCTTTTATGCTACAGTGGACAGTAGGAGGTTCTAAAAACAAAAAGAAAGGAAAAGCTGCAAAAGTAGAGAAGAAGGGAACCATGAAGAAACAGATGAACAAAGCAGCTTCATCAGGCAGCTCTGATAAAGATACCTCTGCAGAGAGTTCAGCACCAGAAGAAGGTAACCAAAAAATGGATGAGTATATTAGTGATGGGAAGAATTCATACATGGGCTGAATTTACATAGCATATCTACCTATCAGTAACTCAGTCCAATTTTCTTGATTTGTACAGTCCACTGATCCATAACTCTACAGGATGGGTTCAAATAAGAAGCTTGGTTAAAATGTGGTAAGTTAGTTTGGGATTCAGGGTATCATAAGAACATAGTCACGTTCTCTTAAGATTAGACCATAGATTCTTTTTTTTTTTTTTTGCTCTAGTTCAGTGGTCTTCAAATTTCAGTTGTCCACGGAATCCTTCTCAGTATGAAAAATCAGTGAAAAGTCCATTAAAAAATTGTTTCGGATAATACTTTTTATTTGAACAAAATTTTAAAAGTAATGTTACAGTGCATTTCATACAGTGTAAATAGAAATGTCATGTTGAACCCCACAGAATCCTTAGGTTCCTAGAGAACATAGTTTGAACATTATAGATCAATTCTAGATAATTTATTAACAATAGGCCAGATTGATACACCAAAAGTTAATAGAAGCTCATTTCAGGCTCTTTTCAGACTTGGATATAAAGAAGACAGGAACAGTGCTTTATGTCTTGATTCAAAAGATAATTTGTTTTATTTTCAAAATCAATTCTAAGTATTTCCTATTCATATGGGAAGCTCTTGCTTAATAACCACAATTGGGACTGACAGCTCTATATCTAAGCAATGTGGTCATCAAATGTAATGTGATACAATAGGGTTATACTCTCATTTCTGTCAAGGCTGTTAGATGCCCACAGTCATTAAATGAACCTCACATGATCACAACCTGCAGTTTTATTGCCAGCTTCTCCATTGACTGCTTGTTGGCTGTGAAGGTTGCAAATGGCCATGGCATGATCGTGGGATGCAAACATTGTAAATGCCTGCCAATTATGAAGTGTCCAAATAGTGATCACATGACCAAATTTATTAGCTAAAGAGCTAATAAAAGGAAAGAAAATATAGGTAAATTGAGTTTATATCAATTCTATTCATCAAATATCTTCATACTTTCTCTCCTGTATATTCTGCCTATACCACGTTGCTCAGTTTATATATGCAGTACAATGTGGTGAACCATGTGCAGATCTGTATATTGGGGAAACAAAACAACCACTTCATAAAAGCACATATGAGAACAAACCCATCAGGATGGGTTCAGCAGTCCATCTGCATTTAAAAGACAAAGGCCACTCTTTTGAAGACAGCAAAATCCACATTTTGGACAGAGAGGACCGCTGGTTTGAAAGAGGGTATCTGTGTCAGGGGTGTCAAAATGGATTTCTTTGAAGGCCGGATTAGCACTGTAATTCTCCATGGGTGGGGTGGGGGGAGACAAGGATGCCTCCTGCGGCGCTTTGTTGGCTAAAACAGGGTGCAGGAGGCCTCCCCATGCCCTGTTTTCGCTGCCAGTGCTTCAGGAGGCTATCCAGGATGAAAACAGGCTGCAGGGGCCCCCATGTGCTCTTTTGGCTCCCAGAGGCATGGCGGGCTGGTCCTTCGCGATTTCTGGGCCAGGTTTAACACCCCTGATCTGTGTCAAAATTGAACAGGTCTCTCAACATAGAAGGATATGACATCTGTCTCCAATCTACAAGGCAATCCGTTCAACAGTTCTAAGACACCCATTTGCACCACTCAGGTGACCCTGATGACACAGATAAACCTCCAGGCGACCTTAACGACTTGCTAATAGAATGCAAATGACCAACTACCTGCAAGGAGTATAAATCCTTCCATTCTCCACCATCCAGTCAGAGTTGAAGAAGCTTCTTGGATGAAAAGCAAAACATCTTCAACAAAAAGCAAGAGTCCAGTTGCCTCTTTAAAAAGCACCTTTGGGACAACCATGACCTGGATGACTGAGAATCTCCATAGACATTCAGTTAACCAAGTAATCACAGTTCACCAAGGACCAACAAGGATGTATTAAGTTTATTATCTTTAACAGTTTCAAAGTTAGTCAGTGATACATGCTGACTTCCTCATAAGCTTGTGGGGCATTCTATTATTATTATTCTATGTATTGTTTTCTAAAATAGGCTAAATGGTAGGCATTTGCCTGAAAAGGTTAGAATCTAAATGTAACTGGGTATGCTGAGGCAGAATGGAGAGGCAGGAGTCAGAAGAAATGGTTATGAGCCTTGATCGCCTCCCAGTAGATGATTATTTCTGGGTTTGTTGTTTGTTTCAGGAGAAGTATCTGACTCTGAAAGCAATGGTTCTTGCAGTAGCTCAGACTCTGAAACTTCATCTGAAGATGAGTTTACTGATGGCTATGGGGAGGATTTTATGGGTGATGAAGAAGATAGAGCTCGCCTAGAACAGATGACAGAAAAGGAAAGAGAACAGGAATTGTTTAATCGGATAGAGAAGAGAGAAGTTTTGAAGAAAAGGTGAGTTTTTGTGCAGCCATTTTATATTACTATTTATGCAACATGGTTTTCATTTTGGACTTTTTAAGATAAATATTTTCTTTCCTTTTGCTCCATATCATTTTTCAGGTTTCTGAACAAAAATGTCAGCAAATTGGTTTCTGGTTAGTGTTTGGTTTTGCCTGTGAAAAACAAGCATAGCCATAGAAGGAATATAGATGCATAAATAATTATTAAAGTGTAAGACATTACCTTTTGTTTGTTCGTTTCACTTGTATTGATCTGTGGTTAAGCCTCCCCCAACAAAGGCAACACTGTTATTTGATCATTACAGAAATAATGGGGTACGATTAGAGATTTGCATAACATGAGAAATGTGGTTTAGCTTCATGCATGGATGTTACTGCTCTGACATTCGGTCACACCATTCTAGGTGTGTCATGTTCCATCCAAAGTGGGTGAGGTTTCAGCCGAAGCAAATATGGATGAGTATAAAGGAAGGCAAGGCTGCTGTATGTAGTCCCTTTTTCCCTACTCCTCTTCATGTCCCAGTATCCATCTTCCTTTTGCTTTCCCTTCGTCATCATTCACAGTTGAATTCACAGGTCTGATCAACCTGTGTGTCCTACCTGGTCTTCCTCATATTCCCCCCCCCATCACTACTTCACACTCCTCTGAATTCTGTGGTGTTGTGTGCCCCCTTTCTTTATGCTTCTGGGTGCTGCCACCCTTTCCTCCACTATCTCACAGCTTGGAGCACCTTTGTTGGAACATATATTTTCCATGGCTGTGCACAGACAAAAGCACTTCTCAATCCTGCCTGATTTGTTACTGGCCGTTTCCATACTGAAAACACTTTATATAGTGGTTGCCATTTTGCAAAACACCAGTAACAATTGAGAGGTTAATAAATGTAAAAATAACAATGCATCTCAGTGCAGCCAATATATATATAGAATATCTGCACATAAATACTGTATAATTTTGACTGTCTCAAAAAAAACCTGGCCAAACCTCCAAATGTAACAGCATTTACAAAACTACATCCCTTTGTTGTAAGAAGTACATGTTGCGCATGCAACAACTCACAGCAAATTACGAGGATCCAACTGCCATTAGCAACAGAAAACCAAAAATCAAACTGATAGGCTGGACTGGTTTCTTGCCATTAAACTGGCTAGTGAGGAAGAGTGGGCAGATTCTCCACGACTCTGCATCTGACCTTTTCAAGAAAGATATGACATCCATCTGTTCAAAAGAGCTTTAAAAATGTGGCTGTTTCCCCAGGCCTTGAGCTAAAGTGGGTGGCAGGTCCTCTTGTAAACGTTGCTTTTCTTTTGGGAGTTTTTTTGTTTTAAATGTTTTCACTGTATACTTCCCAGAGTTGCTGTAGAGTTATAAATCAATTTCTTAAATAAATAAAATATATGAACATTATTTATAACAAAAACTATTTTCCTTCTAAAAAAGCATTATGTCTCATAATTTTACATATTAGTTTCTAGTTTGGAATTAAGAAATTAAGTATTTAATAGTGCCAGTAATTTACATAGTTTAGATTTCAAAAACATATCATTTATTGGAACTGTTATTGATTGATTAAATTTGTATGCAACCCATCTTGCAGTCATGTTACTCTTGCTGTTACAAAAAAAATTAATTATTTTATGCCTTTTAGAAAATTAAAAATAATAAAAAAATCTTACATTAAGTTTGAATTCAGTTTACCAGTGTGTCCCTTCCTAAATTAATTGGAGACTCCTACATTTTTCCCCCCTCGATTGAACCCAGGTTTGAAATAAAGAAAAAATTAAAGACAGCAAAAAAGAAAGAAAAGAAAGAGAAAAAGAAAAGGAAAAAGCAGGAAGAAGAACAGGAAAAGAAAAAGCTCACACAGATCCAAGAATCCCAGGTAAAAAACATACAAATCACAGTTTCTTTAAAAAAAATTGACACTACTTAAAACATATCTGTAACATTGTTTACATTACCATTCATCTAACTACATCTAATTACACTAATTACAAATATTTAGTCCCTAAAGCTGTAATCAAGAATTTTAACATCTTAAACTATTCTGACCTAATCCTTTTATATAGTCTCTTATTTGTAAAGTAGTCTGTACAGTATATTATTATAGTCTGTACAGTGATAACTGTGCTTTGCCTGTTGCAACAAAAGCAAATGTTTCATAATGAATTATATCCAGGCTATATGAATGAAAGCTGGTGTAAAATCCTTTCCCCTCATCTCTGTTTTAGGTCTTCCCCCCCCCTCCCACCCCATGCCAAATTTCTCTAGAACAGTATTTCTCAAAGTGTGATCAAAAACCCTAGGCTGGGGTTCCCTAAGACCGTTCAGCAGTCCACAAAATCAAAATTATTTGCCAGTCTATGTTAAAAAATTACAGTATTAAAATCCACTCAACTGTGAGAAATGCTAACAGTAACGAGTAATGGGTGGGTGATGGTGCTGCAGAAGAGCTGATGTGCATCCTGTAGCTGCCACCACGTCTAGCAATCGTCCTCTTCCTTATTCGTAGGATTCAGAACTTGAGTGGACTGTTTTGTTTAGGTTGTAGTAGATTGCACCCTAAAAGGAATAAATGAACTGGCAAGGATATTGTGGGCTTTGGACTATTTGGTTGGAGTGGGGCGAACAGAATGAAATATGCCAACATTTTGAAAAAAATCTACATAACGCAGTGAACCAATATATTCCAGTTAATCAAAGCATAATATTAGAATGTTTTTACACATAGGTTAAGTTGAAAAATCAACAAAGTGACGTTTATTTCACAATGCAATGTTATGAAGAGGATGGATAAAATCTTAAGTTGTTTAAGAAGTTATATCAATAAGACTGTTTATCTGTGCTTAATTTCAGAATGTCTGATTAGTTTGTCACAACAGATTAATTTTCTCCTGTTTGAGATAATACTAATGATAGTTGTCTTAACCCTTTTTCTTTTTTACTTTCATTTTTTTAACTTTAACTATACTTGCAGTTTTTATTTTTAACATGCTCTTCCCCCTTTCTAAGTTCTCTTAGTTTTATGGCTACATTTGACTGGAACAGTTGCTGAAAATCTAGTTTTCCTTTTAATTATTTATATTCTTTTTAAAGATTCTGTACATCAAAATTATTGAATTGAGGATTCTTTTACAATATTTATCTGAATGTATATTGTGCAATCACTTTTTAAAAACTTGTTTATTTGATCAGTGAATTTATATGACACTAATTCATGCAAACTCATGGTAGATTTCAACAATTGTATAACTTTTTGTATAGCAGATTAGATTTAATTTTTTAAATTATATAGTGCAGTTTATTGTAATGTTTTGCTATTTAGTTTATAGATAATGATATAAACCACCAAGGATTTTTTTTATAAATGTTATTTTACTTTTTAAGAAAAAATATATGTCATTTTGAGCTCCTGGAGGAAAAGCAGGATATTTATTAAACTGATTAATATTAATTCTCTTTTCACCAACAGCAACAATATTTTTTATTTCCTGTTTTTCAAATAACCTGCATTGTAAACTGCAATAAAATACTGTACAGAGAAATAAAATCAAAAGATTAATTGATCTTTTAATAAGAATTATGAGCTTGAATGAAACAAATTGACAAAAGTATGGAAAAATAGATTTTTGCTCAAAAGTACCAAAATAAAAGAGTAAACCTCATGCTACTGCAAAGACTCACCTCTTGGTAAAATCTAACCAAATACCTTTTACTATAGTTGGAATTATATGTTTCTCTAGGTGATGTCACATAATAAAGAGAGACGGTCAAAACGGGATGAAAAATTGGATAAGAAATCCCAAGCCATGGAAGAACTAAAAGCAGAAAGGGAGAAAAGGAAAAATAGAACAGGTAAGTTCAACCATGTATTGTTTAGTTAAAGAAAAAAGATAGGATGAACATAAACCATACACTGTAAATTCCACTGAGCTCCCTACTAACTATATACACTGCTCAAAAAAATAAAGGGAACACAAAAATAAGACATCCTAGATCTGAATGAATGAAATATTCTTATGAAATACTTTGTTCATTACATAGTTGAATGTGCTGACAACAAAATCACACAAAAATTATCAATGGAAATCAAATTTAGCAACCCATGGAGGTCTGGATTTGGAGTTACACTCAAAATTAAAGTGGAAAACAACACTACAGGCTGATCCAACTTTGATGTAATGTCCTTAAAACAAGTCAAAATGAGGCTCAGTAGTGTGTGTGGCCTCCACATGGCTGTATGACCTCCATACAACACCTGGGCATTCTCCTGATGAGGTGGCGGATGGTCTCCTGAGGGATCTCCTTCCACACCTGGACTAAAGTATCCCCCAACTCCTGGACAGTCTGTGGTGCAATGTGACGTTGGTGGATGGAGCGAGACATGATGTCCCAGATGTGCTCAATTGGATTCAGGTCTGGGGAACGGGTGGGCCAGTCCATAGCATCAATGCCTTCATCTTGTAGGAACTGCTGACACACTCCAGCCACATGAGGTCTAGCATTGTCTTGCATTAGGAGGAACCCAGGGCCAACCGCACCAGCATATGGTTTCACAAGGGGTCTGAGGATATCATCTCAGTACCTAATGGCAGTCAGGCTACCTCTGGCAAGCACGTGGAGGGCTGTGCGGACCCCTAAATGTCACCCGACACCATTACTGACCCACTGCCAAACCGGTCATGCTGGAGGATGTTGCAGGCAGCAGAACATTCTCCATGGCGTCTCCAGACCCTGTCACATCTGTCACATGTGCTCAGTGTAAACCTCCTTACATCTGTGAAGAGCACAGGGTGCCAGTGGCAAATTTGCCAATCTTGGTGTTCTCTGGCAAATTGCCAAACGTCCTGCACGGTGTTGGGCTGTAAGCACAAGCCCCACCTGTGGACATCGGGCCCTCATACCACCCTCATGGAGTCTGTTTCTGACTGTTTGAGCAGCCACATGCACATTTGTGGCCCGCTGGAGGTCATTTTGCAGGGCTCTAGCAGTGCTCCTCCTGTCCCTCCTTGCACAAAGGCGGAGGTAGCGGTCCTGATGCTGGGTTGTTGCCCTCCTACTGCCTCCTCCACGTCTCCTGATGTACTGGCCTGTTTCCTGGTAGCGCCTCCATGCTCTGGACACTACGCTGACAGACACAGGAAACCTTCTTGCCACAGCTCGCATTGATGTGCCATCCTGGATGAGCTGCACTACCTGAGCCACCTGTGTGGGTTGTAGACTCCGTCTCATGCTACCACTAGAGTGACAGCACCACCAGCATTCAAAAGTGACCAAACCATCAGCCAGAAAGCATAGGAACTGAGAAGTGGTCTATGGTCACCACCTGCAGAACCACTCCTTTATTGGGGATGTCTTGCTAACTGCCTATGCTTTCCACCTGTTGTCTATTCCATTTGCACAACAGCATGTGAAATTGATTGTCAATCAGTGTTGCTACCTAAGTAGACAGTTTGATTTCACAGAAGTGTGATTGACTTGGAGTTACATTGTGTTGTTTAAGTGTTCCCTTTATTTTTTTGAGCAGTGTATATCACTTATAAGATGGAAAAACATCCTTGATTGTTTTGAATATTCCTAGTTGTAAAGGAAGGCACAGCTTAATCTGATCCATCATCCTCTTTCTCATGGTGGCTCACCACATGCTTTTGATATGTCCATCAGCAAGTCCTTCTCCAGCTGTTCTGACCAAGGCTTCATGAGACCATAATTAAGCACACGCTTAGTCCAAACAACTCTTGTTTTATTTCAACACTGGGAATTATTTTCATTCCCAGCCTGTAATGAGTCCCAAACAGTCCCTTGAGATAAGCACCCACCTTTATCTCCTTTGAATTGCTGCCAACAACTAAAGTGCCAAATTAACTGTAAAAAACCAACCGAAGTACAAAGTCCACACAGAGCTTCAAATTTAATCCAAACAGACTGAACGACTTTGCTTCCTGCAAAGGTTTCTCTACCTTTGCTCTTCCTTTATACTTTATGGGAGGGGCAATCACCTCCAAGCCTTACTCCCGAGTTGCCCCTTTTGTCTTAGCTGCTCTTGCCTTTTAGGAGCTCTGTGCACACACACACACTTGAAACAGGCTCCCCTTGTTCCTCTGCCTCGCTGCTGCCACACTCTGGAGGCTCCAGAGTCAGCACACAACTCCCAGATGGTCCTGGCCCCATCTCTGCATCGGACACAGGACCTTGGTCTGAGTCCTCCCCAGACTCCCAGACTGGTTCCTGTTCCTCTCCACTGTCCGATTCCGCTGCCGTCTGCACAGGTTGCCGGCGAACCACAACACCAGCAGTGGTATTCAAAGGCAATCCTGGACATAGCATCAATAACCATCATGATTGCCTATTATTGGTATTTTGAACTCCCATTAATTTGTCAAATCCCTTTCCAGATTTCCAAATTAGCTATCACTTCTCTGGCTTTTTAAAAATATTCATAAATATATTCTAGATTTCTCATATCAATAATATTTTACAGTTGGATTAAATTACTTTTCAGTGAATGTAATTATCTCTCAGCGAAACTAATTTTCCTTGTATATTTTAAAAAAGCTAGGAGTTGTTTTGAACCTGTCTTGTTATTTCAAATGATTCCAAAACTATTGCATAGAAATATATTTGGTCAAGTAGAGCAAGGGGAGAATGTTTCCCCAATCTAGATCCTGACTGTCATCCTGCAAGCAACAAATGCCATTTCTGTCCGATGCCTAGGCCTGAACTTAGAATGGAAGAAGTCCATATAAACTTCTTCCTTTAGGGGATTCTGCAACAAAAACTCAACCATTATTTTGGGAACATGGCAGTAATCGTCCAAGATACCTGGGTTCAAGGAAAGCCTCTTCACAAGAGGCTGTCCCACTGGCATCTGGTATGACTTCCTTTCCTGGAAAGATGTTGACAATTCCCCAAAGTGCAGTTAATCACGCCTTTCATAGTTACCCAAAGGAGCCAAAAAAGAGACATGGATCCAAGCCATAAATCACAGGTGTCACACTCATGGCATCACATTACCATGTGATGTTTTCCAACATTTTTCCCATTTGCGGAGCTGGGTAGGCATGGCCCACGGGCTCACCAGTTTGACACCCCTGCCATAAATGATAAAGCAAATATCAGAGATTCCATACCCGCTTCATTAAAGTCCATACATAAGATGAATCTTAAATCACATTGTAAAGCGTTACTCAATCAATCCAGATTCAAATTTAAGCAACTTTTGAAAAAATGCAAATGAGTCACAGCAACTTAATTTTTCCCGAACAGAGGGCATGCAACTTTAAATTGTGCCATTTTATAACAACCCACTGCTAAAACAATGGTGACAAGTTGATTCTTCATCTTTGTTGTCTCCTTGTAGGCTCAAACATGAGCTCAGTCAAGTTTACTTACTGTGTTCCTCTGTGGATGCTGCAAGCATTGCTTGTATTGCTTCATCTCTCAGAGTTCCCAGAAAGCTAATCTGGGATTGGCAGACAGAGCAAGATTACTAGGCGGTGACCATATCAAGTACTCTAAGGTCTTTTCCAGACTCCGTAGCTTATTTTGGCACTTGATGAAATGTCAGCTGAGTGAAAAATCCACACATCAGGATCCAAAAGTGCCTGGAGCAGACCACTTTAATTGGACCTCTCAATTTCTAGGTGTTCTGGGTGATGATAGTTCTAGAGAGTAATCTGACCATAACAGACAACTCAGAGTAATATTTTCCATCTTAATATTATGTTTACTTGCTTTGAAACAACCAAGATATCTAGCACATGCCTACTTTATGTTACAAGGTACAGGAGCTTAAAAGGTCCTAGAGAATAGCAGGGACAGATGGTACATCAACAGGATCCTCCATTTGTACCTGTAGCCCAACTTCATGTATAAGCACTCACATCCTCTCATTAAATTTACTGTCAGTGCTGGATGTACATGGGGCAAAATTCACAAATGTGCTCCATTAAAGACCTGAGAATGTGAGCAGATTGCATTGGAGTAGACTTAAGCCAGATACCGCTTTATGCATCCAGGTGTGCTTTTTTCCCATTGTAGCTGAGTTACTTGCAAAGAAGCAACCATTAAAAACAAGTGAAGTATATTCAGATGATGAAGAAGAGGAAGAAGATGATAAATCTAGTGAGAAAACTGATCATTCATCCAGATCTTCATCTTCTGATGAAGAAGAAGAGTAAGTATTCAATATCTACTTTGATATGTAGCAGATACAACTGAATGTTTAATATTCCTTTAGATCTGGAAATTTACATTACTACTTTAATGATTTCTGTCTTCATAGTTGTTTAATTGTTGTTTGAACAAAAGTAATGTGTAAATATAATAAGTAAAAGAATGTAAAAGTTAAATAACTTAATAAAACTAATGGTGCTCACAGCATTCTAGAGATTGCTCACTGAGCCCCTAATTTAAAAATCAATATATTTAATTAAAAGGCCTACATTTTTAAGTATTTAGTCATTTTTATTTTCTAGTATATGAATGTGATAATTTCAGACTGTTTTAAGATGTGAATTATTTCCTTACAGTTGCTTTTGCTTTCCCATCAAACCAGGAAAGAAGAAATTCCTCCTAAATCACAACCAGTGTCTCTACCTGAAGAACTGAATCGGGTTCGATTATCACGACACAAACTGGAGCGATGGTGTCACATGCCTTTCTTTGCCAAAACAGTCACTGGTTGCTTTGTACGCATTGGAATAGGAAACCACAACAGCAAACCAGTTTACAGAGTAAGCCTACCCTTGAGTATTTTCCCTTATTCGTGTTAGTCATAAGAAAAGCAAATTTTGTTCATGGAGCTTTTTCAAAATATGATGAAGTGAAAGCTGGTAATTAATGATACAGCCACTTTTTGTATAACAGCTACCTCATTTAATTACTGTTTGAAAATACAATGGTAATAATACATTTCTTTTTAAAAAAATCATTTTCTAACTAATGTGTGCACTCATGACCAAATTTTTTTACCTGACAATAATGTGCGCCAGAGTGAGAGTAACACTGGCATTTCTGCATGAGAGAACTTTATGTAAATGGGACAGCATCAACCAATAATCTTTGCAGTGACTATCTGTTTTTCTCTCAAATCATTTGTTTGCTTTGTGACCATTTTATTTCCAATTTAGGGAAGGAGAGGAGTTTAAAGAATTAGTCGTGATTCTTCCTTTATTTGTCCTATTACCGGTAGTATATTTGGGGTGCATATAGGTAGGTAGTTAGGGAGGGACGGGGTAGAAACAATGTATATCAAATCTATTCCAGAGAGAACACAAATTCTCCAAATTAGCTTTTTAAAAGAAGTAAGGAACTAAAACAAGAATGGAGGAATGAACAAAAAAGACTATCAGCACAGTCATTCTGCCAGATATTGGTCTTCCATTGATGGAAGGAGTCATTCCATTTGCAAACCATCTTTAAGTATTTAACATGGAATATTGTATTGTTTCAGATGAAGAGTGTACACATTTGTTGAGCTTTACTTAACATTTTTTTAATCTTATTTTTTTTTCTGTCCCATTTATAAAGAAATTGTAAGTTCTTAATAGATAATAAATTAAATGAAGTTCTTGTGTAATCCTGAGTCAAGTGTATGATAAACTAAGCAACATTTCGGCAGAATTTCATCTGCCATCATCAGGCTTCTGTACTGTGTTCATCTGGGAGATCACAGACAAACACAATACAGAAGCGTGATGATGGCAGATGAGATTCTGCCGAAATGTTGCTACAACTTTAAAAGCACAACTATAATGACGTGGGAAAATACCCGAACAAAGCTGAATACCATGTGTGTGTGTGTGTGTGTGTGTGTGTGTGTGTGTGTGTGTATGTATCTATGTACCTATGTATCTATGTATTCATATTCATTCTTTTTTGTTTTGTTGTCATTTGTTTAGGTGGCAGAAATAACTGGTGTCGTAGAAACAGCAAAAGTATATCAGCTTGGAGCTACCAGGACAAACAAAGGGTTGCAGTTAAGGTGAGATATTTGAAAGTCTTGTCATCTTGGGGTGTGTGGTATCCTTGTATAAAAAGTGTGTAATTACCCTGAATCAAGAGAAAATTGATACATTTTATCTTAAGATAAGTTTCTAGTGGAATGAAAAATCCAGCAAATATTGGAGTGAAGAATGTCTGTCCTGTTAGGACCAATAGTTTACTTTCACCAGTAATAGTGCATTCAGAACCTATTTTGTTGTAATAAAGTAGAACTGAACTGACAATACAAATAAAAAGTAACCAATCCAAGAACGCTTTGATCACACTTCCCTCCTCCAAAATTTGGGTGATAAATAAAAGCTACGGTTAATCTTTTTTTCTTTTCAAAGGCATGGTAATGACCAACGTGTGTTCCGTTTAGAGTTCGTCTCCAATCAGGAATTCACAGAGAGTGAGTTCATGAAGTGGAAGGAAGCCGTAAGTTTGTACTTTTTCGATTGCTTTATCAAGAATTTAGGACTGCACAGTGAATAAAATATAATGATTTTTTTTTCTTTTGTTGCAATTAGATGTTTTCTGCTGGGATGCAGTTACCTACCCTTGACGAAATAAACAAGAAAGAAGTGTCCATCAAAGAAGCCCTCAACTATAAATTCAATGACCAGGACATTGAGGAGGTAAATGAAGAAAATGTACTTTTGAGCTGGAACCATTCATTTGGTCCATAATGTAAAGGTAGGTGAGGTTATAAAAGAGACGCTCTCGGGTGCCATATTTTGGTTCTATAAAAATAACATGATTTAAAGCCATATTTATATATTATGAAAGATACAATCAGTACTTTTGATTAGATCATACTGAGCTGTTTTTTCTTCTGGATGTTACTTTTCCTTTCAGATTCCAGCATCACACTAAAAAAAGATTCTCTATTTTAGGGAGCCTTTTTGATGTATTGATTAAGATATTGGGCTAGAAACTGGGAGATCATGAATTCTGTTCCCATCTTAGAAACAAAGCCAGTGGGGTGACCTTGGGCCAGTCACACACATTCAGCCTTAAGAGGGAAACCACTTTAAAAAACAAAACAAAACCAGAAAACTTCAGGGATTTGTCCAGACAGTCACCAGGGTCAAGGTATCTGACTCAAAAGCACACACACACACACAAAACAGACAAGAGATTTACAGTTGTAAATGATATTTGTGCGATCACCTCTGGAAAAATAATCTCAAGTTAATTTCCAATTTTAATAAAGCTTTACTAAGGATATTCTACAGTCAGGATTATCAAACTCTGTCAAACCCCAAATTGCTTTAAATGATCTTGTTCTGATATTTAGTTTGTTCTAGCTCATTTATGATTTTTTTTAAAGAAAGAAATTTGTAAAATATTCGTGTAGATTTCCCAAAGTATACATTTTTACTTTTTTGAAGCTATGAGATGCTTCACACAAATGAATCATATGTTAGCATATATATTATGCTAATTAGTATAACCATGGAGGAATAAATTTTTCCATTATTCCTAAGCCCAGCTTACTCGTAATAGTCTTTGTCTATCAGTAGACTTGTAGCCACTATGCAACATAATGGATTAAGTTCTAAAATCTTTTTAATATTTTTGTACTACATAAATATAGATAAGATATATAAGGTTAAGAAGGCCATACAATTAGCAGTATAATGTCTTGTAAAGAGTTTAATAAAATAAAAACTGCCACAAGGGTTATCTGCAGAGAATACTGGGCCAACCATCAAGTAACTTGTGTTAAACATAATACTGAGTTTCTCATTTTCCATTTTTAGATAGTAAAGGAGAAGGAGAGATTCCGAAAAGCACCACCAAACTATGCCATGAAGAAAACTCAGCTACTAAAAGAAAAGGTAAATAGTATTGCTTAAAGTACTAGTTTTTCAGTAAATTCTTGGACTTCTTGAGAGAAAATTGCCTTGTACCAAAAACAGTGTTGTACGTGGAACAGCTGTTTTCAGCTGGTTCATACATAAACCGAAATGCATATTTTGGATGTTTTGCTCTGGGTTCAGAATGAAACTGGATTGTTTTGTTCTCGTATTGGACCAAACAGAATTGTTCCAAGCAGACATGTTTGGGGTAGGAGTAAAAAACCAAAAACAAGACTGGGAGTTTCCTTGGCAACGACAGGTGTCTATGATGCTAACAGTGAAGGGAGGAGGGAAGCAATGAAAGATGGGAAAAGAGAGTATAATTCTTTCCTTGAGAAAGCCAGTTGATCAATGACTGTGTGATTCACTCAACCCCTGTGATTCATTTAATGACAGGAGTGACATTGGGTTCAGTCGTGTGATGACTTCCTTAACAACCACATTGCTTAGGGGTCAAAATTCTGGTCCCAATTGTGTCATAAACTGAGGACTATGTGTAAATCTTCATATGTTTTCATCACTGCCAATAGGTGGCATGTTACATCTAACATTGTGAGGGAATAGCTAAAATTATTACCTATTAAGAGTTATAACATGCAAAAATGTTTCAGTTAGATTCCTATGGGTCTGATTTAGGTTGATTCCTAAGTATAGCCTATTCAAAGAATATGTTAATTGAAACATATCTTGAATCAAGATCTATTTGACATAATAAAACATGGTTATAGTTTTAATCAATTCTTGCTGGTACAATGGAGAGAGTCCAATAGTAATAAATAATTCTTTGTTAAAGGCCATGGCAGAAGACATGGGAGATCAGGACAGAGCAAAACAAATTCAAGACCAGCTTAATGAGTTAGAAGAAAGAGCAGAAGCCTTAGATCGTCAGAGAACAAAAAACATTTCAGCCATCAGGTTGGTATCTAACAGAACCTGGGAAGAAAAGTACATCTGGAGGCCATTTCTGTGCTCCCCTTCTTGGGACAGGGCTGATAGTGATATTATTTCAGAGAAATCATGCTAATGGTTTTTAATAAGGCAGAAGCCTTTTACATTTTTAGAAACGATGCTTCCCTTACAATGATTGAAACCCGGAATACATCTTAGGATATGACTTCTAGAAGGAGATTCTTTATGATAACAGATTGAGAAAGTAAATCATTAGGATACCGGATTAATATTTATCTTTCTTTTCTCAGTTATATCAACCAGAGAAATAGAGAATGGAATATTGTGGAATCTGAAAAAGCTTTAGTGGTAAGTAATGTTCATGGAGAAAGGAAAAACAGAATGCATTTTCATTGAAAAAATGGCTTTCTGAATTTAACAAATTCATATGGGGGAAACTACTGCTTTGTTCAGTTTATGATTTTCTAAGCTGCTTGGAGGCAAAACTAACTTTTGTGCTTGATAACCATATATAGGCACAAAAATCTATTCACAAACTAGCTGTGTGAAGCATAAGAAATGTTCTCAGTCCCATCTGTTATGGCGCTGCATATTCCACAAAATTTGCAGAACAAAAGTAGGGCTACTTTACTTCCGCTCAGAATTCTTTGAATCTGTGGTATGTTGGATTCATTTCAGTCATTTAAGAAGTGCAAAGTAACATCCAGAATACCCAGAGCCTATTCTTTGAGTTAAGAATCAGAAATACAAGACATCAGTGTTAACTTTCTAATATTCTGCAGAGATTATCGTTTTTTCATACTCAACCGTAGCTCACCTTTGAGAAATGGTCCAAAGGCTTCTTAAGTGGTTCATTTTCTTACTTTGACTTATCAAAGGCATCTAGGAAGCTAAGAACCCAACCTAAGCAAGAGCTTAATTGGAATGAAGCAGGCTGTCTGATTCTGAAGTTAGCAGTATCTCTATATGTTATTGCGGCAATGCTGAGAAAGGGAAGCTTAACTTTAAAAAATGTGTCTTTGTACTTTATGTTTTTGAAGGCTGAAAGCCACAGTATGAAAAACCAGCAAATGGACCCTTTTACTAGACGGCAATGTAAACCTACAATAGTCTCAAATGTAAGTAAAATGCAAAGTTGAGTGCAGTGAAGAATATGATGAGGTATTTATATCTGAGATGCTGGATATCAGTCACCATTCAAATATCCCACACATAACACTAAGCATAAGCTAATATGAATTAAAATTAATATAATGCCTTGGTCTATAATCAGGTGCAAAAAAGGTATAGATTTTTCAGCAGAATTAATTTAATTCCATGTAATAGCAATAGTACTTAGACTTATATACTGTTTCATAGTGCTTTACAGCCCTCTCCAAATGGTTTAAAGTCAATATATTGCCCACAATAATTAACTGAAGGAATGGAAGGCTGAGTCAACTTGAGCCGGTTTGGATTGAACTCTTGGATGTGGAAATTCAGATTTAGCATGCAATACTGCATTTTAACAACTCTGCCACTACAGTACAATATGTAGAATTATTTATATATTGCTTACCCATCAGATTCTAAGTGGCTTAAAATTATAAAAGCAGAAAAAAGCAATATCAAAGTCAGTGTCCTTCAGTCCTATTCACTCCTGTCACTGTGAGGAAGAGCACTGTTTTTTACCACCTTTCTAAGTGGCAGTAAAGTGGTAGAGATTATATTAATGTGCAAATTCCTATTTTTAGATTAGGTCAACCTTTTGAAAATTACTGAAAATTAATTATATTTGAAAAGACAGTACATTCTGTTTTAAGTATTTGTTAATTGAATACACCAAATGAGGATAACATTTTAAAGGAAACGGTAGCCCAACCCAATAATCTTCTTTTCCACAGTCTAGGGATCCTGCTGTACAGGCTGCTATCCTTGCTCAACTAAATGCAAAATATGGATCTGGTGTGTTACCTGATGCTCCAAAGGACATGACCAAGGCAAGTCTTCCAAGTGTTCATTATATTCTGTCCTGTAATTTTTAACAAATAAGTCTTTATTCTGTAGAATTCTAATCATATAAGGCAGAAGTGGAGAACTATGGCCCTTTTATGACTTGCGGACTTCAACTCCCAGAATTCGTGAGCCATGCTGGCTCAGGAATTCTGGGAGTTGAAGTCCACAAGTCATAAAGGGGCCATAGTTTTCCATGCTTGATATAAAGTAACAGCAGTTTTGATCTTAGATCAAGAATGGGCAAATGTGAACTGACAAGCATAAATTTGTCCACCAGTACTTTTCGTGGAGACTGCCAGGCTTACTGGTCCATCTGCTTTAATTGTTTTTTTAATTCTTTGTATTTAAAATACTAAGTAAAAAGCTAGCATACTGCAAAGTACCAGCCATTAGGATCACATTCGTTTGTACACTTATGTTTTCTTAGAACAAAACAATGATGAATGAGCCAGTGCTTTGATTGGAAGGTTAAAAGAGACATCTGGAACAGGTTCATCAGTTTGCCTGATGGTGAATTGATCTTCTGTGTAAGGCATAGCAGCTGTTTTGTGAGAGAATACTGATGTGCTTGCAGCATTCCATATCTGTTCCTGACTCAAAAAGGATTCCCCAGCCCCGCAAGAAAATGGCATTTTCTTTGTAAGAATAGAACAAGATTTCTTTTGGGGCATGAGAAGAGGATTCTGTTCCAGAAATATTTAGATGCATCACCGATTCTTTATTATAAATTCCACGTGATTTAAGGTCTGTGCCACAATATTAAAAGCTTATTTCTCTTTCAGAGCCAAGGTAAAGACAAAGATACAAATTCAAAATCAGCCAGTGATCTCTCAGAGGATCTATTCAAAGTGCACGATTTTGATGTGAAAATTGACCTTCAGGTTCCTAGTTCAGGTAGGTGCTGCTGCTTTTGAAGGGATGAAAAGCAAACTGGGAGAAAAAAGGGATTTTTTTTGCTCATAGCTCTCACAAAATTGTAGTATTTGAACAAAAACCTTATGCTGTGGGTAAGCAACCACCATCTGCTCATCTGATTAGGAGTTGTTTGTATTTCATTTATTTATTTATTTTACATGGTGCCCAATTCACACTAAATTAATAATTATAATGAAGAAGGACTGAAGGATGGGAAGTCTGGGAAGTACAATCCAACATATCTAGGGGGATTATGATAGGAAAGGCTGCTCTCTAAAGCAGCATCCACCTCTCAACCGTACTTTGGTGTACCAGGGACCAGTTCGGTGGAGAGAGGTTTTCCTGTGGCCTAGTGAGTGTGTGCTTTTAGTGTACTGCCTGCAGTCCCACAGATGGGGCTTCGCTTGTTTGTGCGGACCAGTTTCTGGCATGCTGCGGACCAGTGCCAGTGCATGGACTGGGAGTTTGGGGACCTCTGCTCTAAAGAGAATTGTTTTGGCTTGGCTGCCTGTTACTCAGCAGCTTTCTGCTTTCTTCCATCGACCGAGTTATTCATTTTTGTGCACCTTGTCTTCCCACAGAGTCCAAAACACTGGCCATCACTTCCAAGGCTCCCCCTGCGAAAGATGGTGCCCCTCGGCGATCACTGAACCTAGAGGACTACAAGAAAAGGCGGGGGCTGATCTGAGCATTCCCACTCTGTGCTGCTTCTGATCCTGCATGCTACATGATCTCCTCTACGCCCATTATTTTCTTCCCTTCTCCTTCAGTTGACCCTTTCGGGTTGGAGCAGCAGCTACAGAGCTAGGAAGAGACTCTTCAACATTGCCAGCCATCTGTAATATAAATCACTGACTTTTTGCCGTATAGACTTCCCTTATTGCTCTTTCTCCTGCGATACACAAATACGGATCCATGCTATTTTTAGGGAGGGGAAGGATTTTTATTTTTTCCCTTTTGGAAGTACAGCCGTTTGGAATTGGCCGTACTTATTCAGTGTTAACTTGGAATCTGGATTTCTGCAGGAATCTGTCGGTGGCCGAGCAGTGTTAGCACTTTGCTTTTCCACCGTCCCAGGCAAGGAGAATTTACCCGCAAGTGGCACAAGAACTCTTGTGAAAGTTGCCTGCACTTTTCCCTCCTCTTCGTTCCCTTTGCTCCTAGCTTTGGAGAGGGACACATTTACAAACAGGTTTCGGGTGAAAGTGTACATTTTTGTGGGGGTGGGGTGGGCTGTGTGAACCTTTTTTCCAGATGTTTTTTTTTATCATTTTTAACCTGCAGTAAATTTGTATTTGTCACAGTTCTTTAAAGATGTCTGGAATTTCTATCAGCTACACTTGAGCATCTGACACAGTGGGGGGCAATTTAGTAAGTGTGATTTTTTTAAAAAAAACAAACAAACAGAAAAGGCCTGGCTAACAATAGTTGTGCAAGTTCACACTGGGTTTTTTCTTTTTCTTTTATAAAAATGCCTTCTGTCTCTCCCTTCCATATCTGGCTTTATAATACAGTAATATATTGTATTATAATATATATATACTATTGAATAACTTGTGCTAGGAAAGTAGGGCACTATGTCTTCTCTGGCTGCTACTTGGATCTTCTCTTCCATTTCCCCTCCCGCTCCCCAAAACAGAAATATGTGGTCATCCCCTTTGCTGTTCGGCCTTCTCTTTTCTAGGCTAGGCTAGATAGCTTTTCATTTGCATACTTTTGGGGAAAATGCTGAATGGGAAGGATATGGTAGAATTGGGAGATTATTTTAAATTGCAGTTATTTGACCTATATAACATTAGTAGGTACAACACGTGTGGTTGTGAACCTTAACAAAGAATTGTACATGTGGAGTGCTCGAATAGGAAACAAGACTGCTTGATAATCACTCAGGGGTAAAGATCAACATGTAAATAAATGACATTTTATTAAAAAACTTCAGAATGAACTACCATGGGTTATACTGAATTTTGGTACATGAATAATGAAACGTTTCACGAGTGCCAGTTTGGGAAACCTAAACAAATGATATTTTCCTGACTCAAGAATCAGAAGGAGACCATACATGAAGCATTTTTAAGCCCAGAATCTCTATGGTTACATCTAAACAGAGATTTGAATCTCATGGCTGTGATCTGTGAGTATCCTTCTTGATGCTTTAATCTGTTTTTTTCTCTCCTTTAATTGCTTATTTAATGCAAGGGGAACACGTATCTGTGTAAAACCTATGAAATGAAAGGGGAGGGGAAACTCCTCCATAGATTGTTCTTGTCACATTGTGTGAAGTGTGTGGCTTTATTTACTAGATAGTCCACAGCTTTATGGACTGTTGTGTAAATATGTAATCATTCTGTTTTGCTTTGTTTTTTCAAGCTACTTTTCTCAAGCTCTTGTGGGCTGTTATTTTTTTAAATGGGTTTCTGGAATATGCCGGTGTATAACTGGGAGTCATCATGATATACTGTGTAAATAAGCAATATTATCACTTGATTCCCCCCGCCGCCGCCGCCAATATCATTTATAGTAGCCAGTCCCCCAATACTAATATTTCTGATGTAGGAAAATAGATTTGCAATACTTTTACAGGTTTTTGATTGCCCACCAATTTCTATAAAGCTGGGACATGAGAGAAAGAAAAGAGCAAGCAAAGATTTAGCATCTTATGTTTCTACCTAATTATATCATGGCAGTCCGTGACAGACATTTGTAGCCAAAGGTAGATTTGATGACATTGGCCTTATAATCAAAGTGCAGAAGATTTTTTTTTTCTCTTAAGTTGTAAATAAAGCATTGGTTTCCTCCCTTCCAATTGAGTTAGAGCAATATTTCTCAACCTCAGCAACATTGACATGTGGGACCAAATTCCAGAATTGAATGCTGGCTGAGGAATTCTAGGAATTGAAGTCTCCACATCCTGATATTCCTGAAGTTGTGAAATACTAAGTCAGATGAACTACTCAAAGAAGTGGGGAATTTAAAGACATGAACGAGTAGCTGTCCCAATGTATCCCCTATGTACTAAACTCAGAAATGAGATTCTGTTTTTCACAGAGGTAATAGTTGAGTCCTTGTACACCATCTTTTTCAGTGAGAATAATACATCGAAGGAGTATTTTTTTCTCAAATAGCTATGGAACTAATTGTGTATGAAGGTGTAATGTTTTCTCCTCTTAAGTGCATGTGACAGTGAGTGATGGCACCACAGTCTCATTTGGAGGGATGGGTTTATTTGCTTTAATTCATTGATGTCTCGGCAGCATTCGTTACAATGTATAGACTTCTATAAATAAACTGGTTGGTTTTAATAAAGATGCTCACGTTCAATCCTTTGGATATGTCACCAAAAATACACAATTCATACTTTTAGCAACAACGGTAAAAAGTTCAAATCTAGTTGTCCCCAGTCTTTCAAAGTTATTCTTCAGTTAACTTATCAGACATTATTGTTTCAAATGCTTTATGACCGTGGCAATTCTGGATAGATCAAAATTATCTGGAAGATACGTTAGGAACTCTTTAACATTTTGAAATACAGCAGTCACATAAAAGCAGGAGAACAAACTTACTTTTTCTGAGTTTGAAAGATGTTCTTCAGCTTTGAGGACATGCTAGGTGGCAATCCTCTAAAAATAGGCAGAAGTGAGTAGATCAAAATAAATAGTTATCTTAATTGAAATACATTAATTATATATGTATAATATGATTACCCTCCATGTAATTAACACTGTTTTGTTTCTATCATATAAAAAAATAGATTCTTCAAGTCATATACCACTGGTTACACACCTCTGCAGCAGAATATAAAATCAGGTCAGCATAAAAATGTTAAGCAGTTTCAGCAATAAAGAATAATTATTTTTGAAATAGCAGAAAGTGGGAAATAGTACCCATAACAGACAAAAGCTACTTGGCATGTTTAGCCATGAACTGCTACTATTTTTAAAAGTCCAAAATAAAGATAAAAATATATAATTCAAGAATAACAGGCAACATCAGCTGCTATATGCCATGAGAATTATAATACTGGTAAAAATAGTGTGTTATACAGAATACATTTCAAGAGAGGAGAAAAAAGTGTTTATAATTACTTTATTCTAGAAAAAGTACCACAAAAATAATTATTTAAATGTTATATCACAATAAGTTTGGATATTATAAATACACATAATAATGGCCAATGCTGAATAGTGTTTAACTATTACTTAAGGATCCTAAACTACAACAATTTATTATAAAAATAGAATAAAGAGCTGAACTACAAGATATAACAGCTTCCCCACAATAATTCCAATTCTTGGTTTGACTATAATAATAATATAATCAATAGTTCCCAAAACTAATAGCTCATACTTAGGCTATGGTACTGAAAATAATTAGATATCTGATTGTACCACACAACTTTGAAATTATGTTCCGAAGTTTATTCTCAAAGTGGTAGCAAACCAAATAAGACAATAGGGTGATTCAGTCAATCTGATTGGGACATCAGGAATAGATAGTGGGAAGAATGAGTCTTGAAAACATGTCATAAAAATTTGCAAAATGCAGATCAGATTTTGATGGGAAAAAAAAGTATATAGAATATATAAATAAGGAGTGTTTGGGTTCAAGAATAACTGTAGGATTAAAAGTAGGGAATTATACTAACATTTTATCGGAGTGGGGGCAAGAAGGGATAGCTTATTGCAATTCATTCCCAATCTTGGGAGAGGGAGGGATAATTTCCGGGGTGGGAGTCAATTTTTTTAACAACCGTTCTGTGGGTGTGGCTAGGTGGGTATGGCTGCTTTTTTTTTTTTTTTTTTTTGCAGCATCCCCACGCTCCATTTTGGGGCCTTCCGGGCCTCAGGGAAGCCTCCTGGGGGTCATTTTTGCTCTCAGAAAGCTTCCCTGCGGCCCAGGAAGGTGAAAAATGAAGCGGGGTGGGTGGGTGCTGTGCCCCCCCTCAATTTTTTGCCTTCCTGGGCCTCAGGGAAGCCTCCTGGACGAAGCAGTAAGACAGTGAGGGGGATCCTGATCATAGCAACAGCAGATCATCAGGAGGACCAAAAATACCTCAAGGAGTGGCTGGGTGGGGAAGAACACAGTGATGTTGAGCATGTGTGCGATGTTGCACATGCATGATAAGGACTGATTGGGAGGGGTGGGGTGAGGCCAGCCAGGGGCACAATTTGCCGGTTCTCTGAACTACGCAGAATCATAACAACCGGTTCTATCGAATCCCACCCTTGAGTAATTTGGCAAAACCAGAGCTATAGCCTTTCACTAACGCATGGAAAAAGCAAAGTTTTGGTCTGTTGTTTTAGAAATGGCACATCATCTGAGATATACTGTCATGTGAAAAAGAAAGTACACCCTCTTTGAGTTCTCTGGTTTTACATATCAGGATATAGTACAAATCATCTGGTCCTCAGCAGTTCTTAAAAATAGGTAAATACAATTTTAGATGAACAAGACAGGACATATTACACATATCTTTTTTTTTTTCAAAAAGCACCAAAATGGAGGAGCCATGTGTGAAAAACGAAGTACACTTTATGATTCAATAGCTTGTAGAACCACCTATAGCAGCAATAACTTGAAGTAAATATTTTTCATATGACTTTTATCAGTCTCACATCATTGCGGGTGAATTTTGGCTCGCTCTTCTTTTCAATATTGCTTCAGTTCATTGAGATTTGTGGGCATTTGAGGTCCCGCCTCTTGAGGTCCAGCCACAGCATTTCAGTCAGGTTGAGGTCTGGACTTTTACTTGGCCATTGCAACACCTTGATTCTTTTTCAGCCATTCTGTTGTACATGTGCTGTTGTGTTTGGGATCATTGTCCTGTTGCCTGACCTAATGTCAGTCAAGCTTTTAACTGTCAGACAGTTGGCCTCACATTTGACTCTAGAATACTTTGGTATACAGAGAAGTTGGTTGACTCAGTGACTCCAAGGTGCCCAGGACCTGTGACTACAAAACAAGCCCAAATCATCACCCCCACCATAACCATGTTTGACAGTTTGTGCTGATATGCTCTGTTTGGTTTTCATCAAACGTGGCAGTGTGTATTATGGCCAAACTTCTCCACTTTGGTCTCATCTGACCAAAGGACAGTGTTCCAAAAGTCTTGTGATCTATTCAGATGCAACTTTTCAGATGCAAACCTAAGTTGTGCTGCCATGTTCTTTTTTAGAGAGAAGAGGCTTTCTTCTGGCTACCTTTCCAAACAAACCATGTTTGCTCAGTCTTTTGTACTGTTCTGAACTTCAACATATAACATGCTAACTGAGGCCTGTAGAGTCTGAGATGTAACTCTTGGATTTTTGCAACTACTTTTTTTTTCTACTAATCTTTACTTTATTCAAGGAAAGTTAAAATACAAAACACCAAAATCAGGAGTGGGATCCCACCAGTCTAATTACCGGTTCGGTGATTTTATGTTTTGCTGTGCGTGGTATATATCGTTGTCATCTAGCTGCCTGCACGGGTGCGCAGCGGTTGAAAAAGCCCTTTTTTCCTACTTTTTCAACCGCAGCTGT